GGGGGGGGGGGGGGGGGGGCTTGCGCGTGCGTAGTGGGTAGGTGGCGTGCATGTGTGCATGTGTTGGTGTGCGCATGCGAGGCAGACAGTGACGGCAGGGTGTGAGGGATGGGGGAGGGGGGGATGCACACCCTGATCGCCCCATACCTGCACTCCCACTCCACCCACCCACCACCCCGCCATCCCCGCAGTTCCCCTCGGCCCACTTCTATGGCGGGCGGCTGCGGGACGCCGAGTCCATCAGGGACATGCCGCCCGCCCCTTTCTACGCCCACCCGCTCATGAAGCCATGTGAGGGCGCCCGCCAAGCCCTGCCGCAGCGCCTGCAGCGCCTGCTAGCCGGCATGTCTCCCGCATGCTGTGTGCGGCGCCGTGTCGGCCACGCCTGCTGGCCGCTGGTCGCGAGCAGCTGGATCGAAGGGATGCCTCACGGGCCCAGCATCCTCTCGATCCTTTCGGTCCTGGGGCTTGGGAAAGAAGAAGATATGGCATGAGCATCCCTGCTCACGTCCTCACGGCGTTTTCTGTTTGCGCAAAGGCACGATCATCCCCCTCCTCCCGCCTGCAGACGTTTTTTTCGATGTGGCCAAGGGCAAGGAGCTGCGGCGGGAGGGCGGCGGCAGCCTAAGCAATCGGGTGGGTGGCGGGGCGGCGGCATGTGGTGTGTGAGGGGCAGCGAGCTGTGCCTGCATCCGTGCATGGCCCTCCTCACGCCGCCTGCCCCTGGCCTGCTGACCCAGCATACCATGGCGGGGTGACTGTACCACGGTACCATGGTTACAAGGCATACCCTCCTGCTCTGTTTTTCTTCTGGGGCATCTCGCCTGCCGCCCCTCCTCAGCACTCGCCCACCCCCTGCCTGCGCTGCAGGCGGAGGCGCTGCTTGCGGCCTGCCTGTTTGCCGAGCTGCGGTCGTTCCTTATTGAGCGGGCGCAGCAGCAGCCCGGCAGCATAACGGGGCCCACATCGGGTGAGGCCTGGCCGGGCTGGCGGGGGCCAAGCGCCCGCCTGCCTGCAGCTCGCGGCTGGGGGGTCCTGCTGCGACTGGCACCCCTGTGCGGGACGCTGCTCGTCCCGCCTCCCTTGATCAGCCGACCAGACGCCTTCAGTGGCGCTCACCTGCCCACTCATCTCCCAGCCACCCCCACCGGCTACCCACCTCCCAGACTCACACCCAGCCGCCATGCTGCCCCTCCCCGAGGTGTCTGCAGTGGGCGTGATCACCCCCTACCGCGAGCAGCGCAAGCTGCTGCGCGAGATGTTTGAGGAGGTGTGCGGCAAGGGGCCGGCCTCGGAGGTGCGCTCGCCTGCTGCGCCTGCTGCACCTGCTGCGCCTGCTGTGCATGCCGCTCCGCCTGCTGCAAGGCCCCGCCGCGCTTCTACGACCCGCCACCGCGCGTCTGTGCTGCCGGCTGCTGGAGCGGCGAGCTTCTCCTGGTGTAGCGCCGCTCCTGCTGCTGCGCTTGCCGCCATCCCTGCCCTCCATATTGCTTCTCATTTCCCTTTGTTGTCACCTGTGGCAGGTGTTCATTGAGACGGTGGATTCCTTCCAGGGCAAGCAGCTGGATGTGGTCATCCTGTCCTGCGTGCGCGCCTCGGTCGGCGGCGGCCTAGGTGCGGTGGTGGTGTTGGGAGCGGCGTCATGGCAAGGCTGCTGTTGCTGGCTGGTCGGGCTGCTTGCCGCCGCAGGCCGCAGCTGCTGGAGCCGCTCCGAGGGACGCGACTGCCTCCGCTGCTGCTGCTGCTGCTGCCGCTGCCTGTCGTTCGCCTGACGCTGCCCGCCTCGCATCCCGCCGTCCCGCCCCGCTGCAGGCTTCGTCAACGACATCCGGCGCATGAATGTGGCCATCACGCGTGCGAAGCGCTCGCTGTGGGTGCTGGGGGCCAGCGCCACGCTGCGCGCCAACCGGGAGTGGGCGGCGCTGATAGGGTGGGTGGGTGTGGCTCTGGGTGGGGTTGGGCGCGGCTGGGGTGGAGATGCGGTGGTGTGCTGGTGGGTGGGGGTGGTGAGTGGCGGATTAAGGTGTGTGTGCATGCTGGGGCCCCAAGCGGCAGAGGCGTTCCCGCCAGAAAGCTGCGGCGCAAGTTGGTGCCTGCGGTGTTGCAAGCTGTGCTGCGCTGTGCTGCGTGCCGTGGTCGGGGCGCCCTTATGTACCGCCCTGCCCGTACCGCCTGCGCCATGCAGGGACGCCGAGGAGCGCGGCCTGGTGATTGCGGATGCCGAAGCCCAGGACCTCTTCCCAGGCCTGTCTTACTGGCAGCGGCAGCAGGAGCAGCAGCAGCAGCAGGGGGAAGGAGGGGAGGGCAGGGCCGCGCAGCCACAGGGGCGGCGCGAGGGCTCGGCGCCGGCGCCGGCGCCGGCGGGTGCGAGTGCGGGTGCAGGGGCGGGGTTGGCCGGCCTGCCACCGCTTTCCCGGGTGCCGCCAAGTGGCAGAGCGTCTGCCGAGGTGCAGCCCCTGATGTCCCCGGCAGCAGCGGCAGCCATGCAGAGCTTGCAGCCGCAGCCCCAGCCGCCGCAGCCGCGCCCCATGCTGAGCCTGCAACAGCAGCAGCAGCAGCAGCAGCAGCCCATACCCATGCAGCGCGCAGCCGAGCAGCAGCTGCGCCCGGCGGGGCCGACGGCGGCGCCGGGCGTGCGGCCCATGCAGCGCCTGCATGCCGGCCAGCAGCAGCAGCAGCAGCAGCAGCCCGGCGCGCAGGCGCGGCCTCCAGCTGCACCGTCGGCCTACCCCTCGCTGCCCACGCGGCGGTGAGCCCGTCTCTTATCTGGTTGCTCGCTGCCTTGTTTCGCAATTGACACAGTGCACCTGTAACTCCATCCGAGAGTGTGGCTCAGCTGCGCAGGCACGTGTTTTACAAGGCTCCCAGGCCAGAGGCTGCGTGTCCCACCCCTGGCCCGGCAGAGAGCGGCACAGCTGTCTGTGCGGGGGGGCGTGTATGTGTGTTCGTCACGGGGGGCGGCGGCGGCCACAATGTAGCGCCGCGCTTGCCCCACACGGCGGCGGCAATGATGATGATGAAATGGGAGGGAGGGAGATTAGGGAGGGCGCGTGGCAAGCAGGGATAGCAGCATTGCAAGCATCGCAACTGGCCCACAGATGGGTGGGTCAGGTGAGGGAGGAGATGGAAGTGGGAGGGGCGCGGCGCTCAAGCACGCGCACCTCCATATAGCAGCAAACAACACATGATGAAACTTTGGTACAGTTCGGGCCAAGAAAGAGTGTGTCAGGTGAAGGTGCTGGGGCCCTGGGGCACGGGGCGGCCCATCCGGGCGCCTTGGTCGGCGAGCGCTGCCCAGCCAGAGAGCGGCGGCACATCAGTGCTGCCTGTCCGTGCGCGGGATTGGGAGTTTTGGCAGCGGCAGTCGCTTCATGATCAAAACCGGGCTTGAAATCAGTGGTGGCTGCCAGTCCACCCCTCACCCCCTCACGCCGCCAGGTCGCCGATGTAAAACTGCTCCAGCTGGCTGGCAACCACCGGGTTGCCCGCGTGCTGGGCGGAGAACTGCGCCGAGGCGTCGGTGCCGGCGATGGCGAGGATGCGGCTGGAGCCGCCTGCGGGCGGCGGCGCGGGAGCGGCGGCGGCGGCACGCGCTGTCAGGCCGCAAGCGCGGACAGCTCCACGAGGGGGCACGCCGAGCGCTAAGTACCTGCCGGCAAGTACGCTGCCGTGCCACGCGCGCAAGAAAACAGACTCACACGCCACACGCATTCCATGTGTGACTCCGCCATCGAGCCCATTTGTGACGAACGACCCCCACCTGGGTGCACAGGCGCCCACTGCGTCAGGTCATACACCTTGCCGTTGATGGCGGCCCACAGGCTGTCAGCGGTGGCGTGGGTGGCCACATCCGCCAGCGTGTACGTGGTTGGCCTGCGGCGGGAGGCCAAGGAGAGGGCAGGCCACGGCAGGGTGGCGAGCAAGCGCTGGCAGCCGCGTGCCAGCAGGGCAGAGCGACGGGCGGCCTGCGCGACTGTCGGCAGCGGCGATGCAGACCACTGCCGACCTGTGCATGCCTGACCTTAAACCCTACAGTTGGAATGGAATGGGTCGCAGCATGAAGTCGGGCACCAGGCAAACACAGGCACCCTCACCCAGAGGCAGGGGCGGGGGCGGCGGCGGGAGCCCCGTCAGTCGCAGGGGCGGGCGCCGGCGCCTCCAGCGCCTTCAGGGAGCCGTCCGGACGGGCCTGCGGTGAGTGGCAGGGAGAAGTTGTGGACCGGTAGGCGTCCCCCAACATATGCCGTGTGAGGGGGGCCACATGCGGCTTGCAGCGGAGAATGCAGCTCCCGCAGCGCTGGCACGCACCTGGGCAGCAACCAGGAGGGCCGCGAGGGCCGCAGCCAGCAGACACCAGCGCATTGCAGTCGGTCAGGAGTAGGGGGATGACTGGTGCTCGCAGGTGGGACTGCACCCTTTCGCCTTTGGTTCCTTGCTGCAACTGAGGGAGAAGACCGCCTATCAGGGAGCGTCCAAACCACCTTCTGTTCCGTCCAACGCGGCAGCACTGTGTGATCTATCAAGATAGATCAAACACCCCCCCGAGCTGAACAGCCCGCCCCGGCCGCCAGATCAGTTGCTGGGGGGCATACAACGAGGACTGCATGGGTAGCACGACTGTTCAGGGCGTTCAGCTCCCCAGCGGCGCCAGTGCTACCACTTGCCGCCTACCGTCTTCCACGCCCGCCCCGCACACAGGCAACTGAGCTACTCCCTCAGTAGTGTCAGCAAGCTTAGGAATAACGATGCAGGTTGCCACCGTCACGGTAATGCAGGCCTCGTGCCGACACCAGGCAGGGAATTGGATCGGTCCCACCGCGCCGCCGCCACCCCGCCCACGTTGCCGGCGAGCAGAAGCATGCGCATAGGCAGGCCCAGCCCCCCAATTGAGCATGCCTGATTGATTGGCCCGGCCACTTATCAAATGAGGCGCCCCCTGCTTGGCAAATTGGCAGTGCGGCAACTGGCCACACAGCGCTGCAGAAACGCACACAATCAGCCCTGGATGAGGCCCCATCTCAGCGAGCATCTCCAGGCGGGCATTCCTCGCGCTCCGCCCGTCGCCCTGGGCATTCAAAAGCTGGTTGCAGTCCCCTGGAGACTGCCCCTGGCGGAGCCGCGTCCTCCCTTACCTACCTCCGCTACTTGGTAGCCAGCGCCCTGCTCGGTTGGGGCTGCGTGCGCTGCAGAACGCCCCTGTTTCTTTGCGGTAGCGCAGCGCCGGCAGCATGGTCGCAGAAGGCAATGTGGGAGTTGCCTTTGGACTGGTCGCAGCAGCCGGGCTGTGCACCACCCTGGGCGCAGCGGTGGTGTGGTGCGCCTCCCTGGCTCAACCTCGGCTGCTGGCGGGCAGCCTGGGCTTCGCGGCGGGGGTGATGCTGTGAGTCGCGCCGCCGCCGCCTGCCGCCGCTGCGCACCCGACAACCGCAGCCGCCCGCCCGTCCCTGCACGGCTGTAGCACAGCCATGCCTCTTCCCCACCGCCTCCACCCCTCCCCTGCTGCCACAGATACGTCTCCTTTGCCGAGATCTTCATGCGCAAGAGCGTGGCGGCGTTTGAGGCGGTGACCGCCGACGGCAATACGGCCTACCGCTGGTCCACCCTGTGCTTCTTTGGCGGCATGGTGCTGGTGTTCATCCTGGACCGGGTGAGCCGGAGGGGGAGCTTGCGAGGCTCGGCACGGTGCAGTTCTCCCTAGGCGGGCAGCGGGCAGGCCGCCCGCGGCGCTGAGAGCGGGACCGGCGAGGCTCGCTTCGCAGGCCGGCAGCAGGCGCGGTAGCTGTCGTGAAGCTGCGCACGCCACGTCGCCGCCGGGCCCCCTGCTGCACCAGCCCGTGCCGCAGCCCCACCCCCACCCGACGTGCATCCGCGCCACCCCCGCCACAGATTGTGCACCTGATCGCCCACTGGGGCGTCAAGCGCTCGATGCGCAAGGCGGCGGCGGCGGCCGGCGGCGCCGCCTCCGCCTCCACCACCAACCTGCTGACGCACGAAGACCAGCGCAACGCGCGGCCCCCCGCCAGCACCCCGCCCGCGGTGGCTGTCATGCGCAAGGGGCGGCGCGCGGGTGCCGCCGGGGCCGCCGCCGCCGCCGCCGCGGCAGACCTCGAGGCCGGCGGCTCGGCATCGGGCAGCCCGCGCAAGGGCGCCGGCGCCGGCCCCGGCGAGGGCGAGGACGCCCAGGGCGACGGCAGCGAGCGCGGCGGCTGCGAGCGCGGCGGCGGCAGGGACGTCGACGGCGACGACTGTTCCGTGAGCACCCACATGGGCGACCTGTCTGCGCCCATGCCCGGCCTCACGGAGCCCTGCGACGCCATGACCTCCGCCGTCGTCGCCGCCAGCTGCCCAGACACGGTGGCGGCGACGGCCGACGGCCAGCGAGGCGGCGCCGGCGAGGTGCGCGCCGCGCCGGCCGCTGGAACCTGCCCACCCGCCCGCCTGCCTGCCGGCCTGCCGGCCGGCCAGCCGGCCGGGGAGCTGGCCCCTGCACCTGCCTGGCTGTCGCGCGCCCGGCCTGGCTGCCCACCCGCACACGCGCACCGTGCGGCTCACCTGCCGGCGCCAGAGCTGGAGCTGCGCTCGCTGCACACCGCACCGAACCACACTGCACCCTGCCCCGCCCCGCCCCTGCCCCCGCCTCTGCCTCTTGCCCGCGCCGCAGGGCGAGGTGGTGACGGGCGCGGGCACCTCCTCTCGCACGCCGCCGGCGGTGGTGGAGATCATGGAGGCGGACCACCACAGCTTCATGCTGAAGAAGATGGGTGAGGGGGGCGGCCCTCGACTGCTGTTTTATTTTGTTTTAAGAAGAGGAGGTGGTTCTTGAGGAGGAACCAACATCATGAGATCTTGCCTGCCTGCCCGCCCCACTCGCTGCAGGCGTGCTGACGGCCCTGGCGCTCTTCATCCACAACTTCCCCGGTGAGAGCAGGCTGCCTGAGGGCTGTGTCGCTGCGGCGTTGTGTGGGTGGGGTGGGGGCGG